TATATATATATAATTGTTATTGTATTTAATGTTGAAAACATCTGACAGATTTTTTTTTATATTCGTGTACAAATCTCTAGTTATTTTTTAATATCTGTATTAAAACTTGAAATATATTTTTTAATTTTTTATTTGATTTTATTTTGACATTGTTTAACATGTTGGTACTATAATTAATAAATTTATTTTTGTTGAACATACTAGTTTATGGTCTGACACGTAGAACACCCAATTATATTTGTTTGTATAGCTTATAAGTTATTAATTTTTCTTATAGGAATTATTTATCCCAGTTTTGAGCAATTTTATAATTTTTGTGTTAATAATGGATTCTATCTGAATAAATTGTCACATAAAAATAAATTTTGTTTGAGCTTTCCAACTTGTTTCTATAACTTATTTGTTATTAAACTAATATGTTTGGCAATACTTATTGTTTAAAATTTATAGCAATTTTTGCGATGCAAATGAAATATTTTGCCATTTTAACATTTGCTTGATTATATTTTTTTTAAAGATGCACACTTATCAAAATAAAATATGAATCTCCCTGACTAACTTTTGATGATTTCATCTGATTCTTTCAAGAGCTATTTTAGCGTTTGTTTAAGGCTATGTTTCAAATATGTTGATTGATTAGATTAGGACCTGTGCAACAAAACAGGTAACTCCGATTTTAACTCCGAGGTAACTTCCTCCATATAGCTGTTTCAATCAAAGCATTTTCTCCTGTATGAATAATGGAGTGGAAGAAAATTACATATTCATGCTGAGTTTTTTTTTTCTTCTTTTTTTTAAAATTCCATTTAATCTTTATTAATAGTTCGAAAATTTAGATTTACCTCGTTTTTGCTCAGAGTGTGTCAATTTGAATAATTAAATTTAACTACAAAAGATGCTTTCTGACAATGAACTAACTCCATTTTCTTCAATAGATTCGGATTTCTGAGCCTCAAAATATAAGACTAGCCCTAATCTGGCGTTTACACTGTTCCAAACTTTCAGTGTAAACGCAAGATTACAAAAAGTTTGAACGTTTTATCCAACCGAACTGAAACTATTAGATCCAGCACAAGCAAAAAGCTTCTTGATGCATCTATCAAAACCAGATGTCATCATATTCTACCATATTTGTAGAAAAAAAAACGCAGTTTTTTTCTAGGCAGTTCTCGGTTATCTCCCTTCTAGAGAGCAATGAAACTTCGGAAAAGGTAGATAAGGATTTTGTAGCAAAATTATCGCAAAGTTGGTCGACGGTTTCTCGGTGAATGATCGCAAAGTTGTTAGGTGCTGTTCAAATGATTAAAATTACAAAAAATATTTTGAGTGATGAAAGAAAAAAAACTGCAATTTTCAGCCAAAAATATGTTTGAAAAGCGCATTTTCATCTAGACATTTTCCATGTTGTACAGTGTTATTGCCGTACGTCTTTAATTGAGTATGTGATTGGGAAAAAAGCGCACTCATTTATCAAACTTGATCCCTCAACGATGATCACACAAAAAAGAATTTTTCATAATAATTATTTTTATACCCACATATAAGATTTGGGGGCCGTAAGAAACTTAAAATCGCACTACTAATCTTAGTTTGGTATATTAGTTTTATTTTATAACTGTCATTGAACAGTCGACCCAATTTTGGGTTTACGACTAACAATGTACCGTCACGTCTACAGTTATGTATATGTTACGTATTAGTACGTAACGTACTATCTCAGTACTAGTAGTATCTATTGCCAACATGGCTTTCGTCAATAATAGTTAGGTGATTTTTTATTGCAGCTCAAAGGAATAAACACCGTTTTATATTTAATAATGTTGGAAAATATTTTTAATTGTAAAGTATAAAATTTATTTCATTTTTTTGAAAAACTAATAAATTGTTTTTAACAAGTTTTTAATTCTGTACTATCAATATAAAAAATTTTTAGTGGATGAAGAAAATCATATAGTTCAATGTTCAAAACTTTATCAATTATTAATTAATCCAATAAAAGATATAGTAACCACTTAATTATTTTTGTACGATATGGTTTTTGTTTTTCTAGTTTCGTAAATGTGTGCAATTTTTTTAAATCCGGGCACTAAATTTCAAAGATAGCGCCACAAAAAGGAAATATGACCTTATGGGATCAAACTTTCAAACACCTGTTCTTATTAAGCAATTAGGATCACAGACATACTATATTATCATTAGGGTCTGTCATTGGATCTATCATCATATATATCATTTGGATCTTGTCTGATCTCATGGGGTGCTAGAATAACAAATGTTTCTAAAAAAACGTTATGTATATTCTGAGAAAGTACGACTTTATGTTTGATGCTTCGAAACCTAAAATGTTTCGTATCCATATTTAAAGTGACCCTTCTAAATATTAAGATTGCCACATAGTTCATGAAAATCAGATTGTTAGTTAAAAGGCTAGTCAGGTTTATTCTTTTTACCCCTTTCGATAAAAGTAACTGCTTGATTCTAGTTTTTTTTAGCATTTATACAGAAAAATTTGTGCTATCAGAAGTTTTATTTAAAAAGATAATTTTTGAAAGCTATTGATAAAAATCTAGAAATTCGAATTATAATATTACGAAAACAAATTCGGGTATTACTTAAACCTGAAAACGAGAGTTTAATAACTAGAATCAAGCAGTACCTTGTGCTAACAGAAAGCTATTTGAATTATGCCGATATTTCTCAGTTTACTTTTTACAATAGTAATATTTAACTTAATAAAACTTAATATTAAAAAACTGAAAAATGAGTGTAAAAAATAAACAGACTCTAAAATTTAGAAATTTTTTATTTATCCAAACAAAATTTGGCATAAATATTTTAATATTATTTACTGTAAAATGACTTTTAATCACATTCAGTTATTTTTAAATTTGGAGAAACAAAGGAATTTTATAACTTAAATAAAACACCATAAATTGAAGTGTAATTTTTGGTCAGTTAAAGCATTTAAAATAAGCATTTTTATTATATTTTAACAGGGTTAGAAAAAAAGTTTTTTTTCTTTCAAAGAAACATTTTTTTTTTTGGTTTAAACGGAATTGTTTTGTTTATTTAAACCAAAGTGTAATCTAATATGTTATGTTTTAAATTAAATTAAATCAAAGAATAAAAAAAAATTCATAAACTTTTTCAGCTATTAATTTTTTAATAAACAATAACAAAATATCCACTTTTATTGAAAAAATTTGCTAATCTGTTAAAAAAATAATAACAGTAAAACTTTGATTATGCTCCTGTATTACTTTACAACTCCACTTAATATACAACAAATAAAATATTTAATTTTAATTGTTCTATTAGTAATGCATGTAAAAGAGTGAGTATATAGGACTGCATAGTCAGTCTTACTGCAGCATTATTTCTGTTATCGTTTTAGCTATATGCAATATATAACATTAATATCTATTTACTTTAAAAAATTAGCATTTCTTTTCTTTTAATTGAATTAATTCGAACTTTAAGGAGAGCATGGCATAGTTTAGGTAATATAATTTTCAATTAAAAAATATTTAAAAATTGTGGTATGATTAAAAGGATTTAAATCGTAAAATTGTCGACATACAATGTGCGCAAAATAAAAAAAAACGGATCATCCTGAATAACTTTTGATCTAATGATCGGATCTTAACTTTCTAGAACTCAATATCTCATGGTAATCTTAATGTTTTGCAATCTTAATGGTTCAAGGGGGACTTCAAATATGCTAATTAAGTAATATTTTAAGTAACAAAATCAGACACAAAAACACACTTTCTCAGTAAACATACGGTTTTTTCGACGGATTCGGAATTATGACGCAATCTGAGAATTACGGTCCGAAGCTTCGAACCCTTAATGTTAAATTCACTTTTTGCTTTTTCCCCCATATCTCGAGAACTTATTAAAGGAATTTGAAAAAAATTGTACACAATTAGAAAATTCGTTTATCCAAAAATAATCCCCTGCAAAATATAAGTTTTAGTAAATATTTATTATTTTATTTCATAATAGACGAAACAACTTTGAATTTTAATTCATATAATTTTTTTGCATAATTTTAAATAGCAAAATACAAAATTTGAGAGAAATCGGTCGAATAGTTCTTGCGAAAACGAACTTTGAAAAAGTTGTATTTTTAAAATTCGATTTCTTAGGAACTATTCAACCGATTTCGGTCAAATTTTCTGTTTCGTTCCATTCTATAAAATGATGTAAAAATTTGTATACCTTACTATTCAAAATATTTTTGACTACTATTAAATAAAATAATAAATATTTATCAAAAGTTATTTTTTGCATGAAATTATTTTTGGATAAATGATTTTCGATTTTATAATTCTGTGCAAAAATGTTTCAATTCGCTTGAGAACTTCGTGTGACATAGCGAAATACACATTAACTAAAATTAACATTAAGGGTTCAAACTATTGGGACTATAATTCCCAGACTGGAGCTACCCCTTTCACTGTGAGGATTATGAATCCGAATACGTCTTAAAACCGTTATCTTTATTCAGAAAAGGTACGTTTTTGAGCATGATTTCGTAACTTAAAATATCGTCTGCACTTATTAATTAGCATATTTGAGGTCACTCCCTCGAACCATCAAGTTTAAGGTGATCCGGTCATTAGATCAAAAGTTATTCGGGGTTGTCCGTTTTTAAATTTTGGGCACTGTGCTTAAAAATAGTGAAATAAAGGTTTGTTTTTAATGTTTTAATAATATATATAAAGAATAAATTACTTTTCTTGTCTGTTAATAGAATAACACAATGAAGCTTTAAGCATATCAATATGCTTATAAATAATGCAGCATTAAATAAAATAATATATATTGATGTTATTATAAATGATTTTTGAATATTGTGTTTTATATTAACATTGTATGTTGAAAATAT